TATGTTGTGGGGTTGTTAACCAATGTCATAAAACAACATGTGTACTACTGTTTCATGAGAAACTATTTGTTCTATAAGCCTTCACCTGAAGTACAATAAAAAAAAAAATTAAATAAAAAAAAAATTCAGTTTTATTAAAAGGGATAAAATTATTTTTAAAAAAGCCTGTTCAATTTTTTTCTGATTTAATTTTTAATAATTATAGGCAAGTGATACAAAAATGTAAGAGACAAAAAATATTTATTAATAACATAATATATATGCATGGCATTCACACCATGAAATATTACGTAGAAATTGGAAAGGATGATACAAGTATGTATGGAAACAGCCAGAATACATTGAGTGAAGAATATCAAGAATATATAGAACAAAACAGAATATATAAAATCCTGTTTTTGTCCATCCCTAGGTTTCCACTGTTCTTTTAATTCACAGTTCTTTAAATATCACTGGGGCTGAGAGTCTTCCCAGACTTGTTGGGCAGCTGTATTTCTTATCCTGTAAACTGTCTGTTCCAGTTCTTTATTTTTCTATTTGGTTACAAATCTACTCCCCTCGCCCCTCACCCCCATGTTTGTCATCTGTCTTGTGACTAGGTTCAATGTATGTGTGTATGTGTTTAATGGTAAAAAGTTTTATATTTTTCTGTGGTCAAACTTAGTACTCTTTTCCAAACTTTATGGTTCTTGAAGTTTAGATTATGTTTAATCAGGCCTTCCCCACCACAAAATTAAAATACTCATCCAAGTTTTCTTTTACTGCTTTTGTGATTTTATTTCCACATTTGAATCCTTTATCTCTCTCTGGATTTTATTTAGATGTAATGAAAGCAGCCTAAGTTTATTTTTCTTTTTCTAAATGGCTTCTCAAACATCTCACAACAACTGACTGAAAATCCATCTTTTCCTCAGTAATACCAAATGCCTGACTAGACTGACAAAATTAATAATCAGGACATTTATTGCTTAATGCTGAAAAGTAAAGGTTGGCTTCTGATACATTTTTAAATTAAGCAATGATCATATTCAAAAAAGAGAAAAATTAGTCTTAGAAAAACCGATGGTAGGAAATACACTAAAATGTTTAACAGAGGTTGCTACTAGGTAGTGGCATGGTGGACAATTTAAGAAAAGTTCTGTTTTCCAAATCTTCTATAATAAGCATATTTTATCAGCAGCAAAAAATAAAGTTTACATACACACAAAAAAACCAAACCCGTTGCCATTGAGTCAATTTTGACTCATAGTGACCCTACAGGACAGAGGAGAACTGCCCCAAAGGGTTTCCAAGGAGCGGCTGGTGGATTTGAACTGCTGACCTCTTGGTTAGCAGCCGAGCTCTTAACTACTACACCATCAGGGCTCCAAAGTTTACATATGGGAAGCAAATTAAATATTTAAATATTCATAACTACAAAAATATCAATATATAAAATATACTACTATACAATAAACTTTCCTATTACAGTATCATTAACTGTTGACTAGTCAGCTACACTCCTTGCTCCTGACTCCGTTTTAGAGACTGACAACAGCAATTCTTAAATCTACGTGAAGACAATCCTAAGCAAAAATTTCTCAGAGCACATTATCTTTTTAGTTTGAGAGCCACTACAGTGTTCAGTGTTTGCAGGCCTCTGAGGAAGAACTATGACAGTAAAAGTATCAAAAATAAAAATTCAGCAGAGTTAGAAATGGGTACTTGGAACATAAGAATACCCACAAGAGGATTACAATGGAACACACTGCCTTTCTCCATCCGCCATGATGCCACTGAATGAAAGGGGTAAATGGGGGAAGGTCTGAGTAGGTCTGAGTGTGCGCACCATGTATGGAGCTAAACAGAATCTAAAACAAAACAAAAGCAAACGAAAAACCTATTAATTGTTTGTGTTTTAAAGCTGGTGCAAAACATTTCAATAGTTTAACTTCATTTCTTGAATGAAGAAAATATCCTTATAAAATAGTAATGATATAAACCTAAATATAAACCCATATTTTACATCTCACTTTACTGTTAACAGCAGATGATGCATTAAGACTCTTAAATACAGGCAAGAGTAGATAACAGTAGTCATCTTCCTAACTTTATAGAAATATTTTTGATACAGTTAATGGTCTAATGAAGTTATCATTATTATCTACTGCTTTTATGGAAGAAAAAGGTAAAAACATCATCATCAGATTTCCTTAAAAGATCTCACGTCAGTAAAGGGGAATGAGGAACAACAAAGACACAAGGAAAATATCAGCCCCAGAGAGAGAAAGGGCCACATAAACCAGAGACTGCGTCAGCCTGAGAACAGAACAACTAGATGGTGCCCGGCTACCACAATGACCGCCCTGACAGGAACACAACAGAGTGTCCCTGACGAAGCAAAAGAAAAGTGGGGTGCAGAACTCAAATTCTAGTAAAAAGACCTGACTTAATGGTTTGACTGGGACTGGAGGGACCCTGGAAGACACAGTCCCCGGACTCTGTGTTGGCCCAGAGCTGAAACCATTCCCGAGGCCAACTCTTCAGACAAAGATTAGACTGGACTGTGGGACATAAAGTGATACTCGTGAGGAGTGTGCCTCTTAGTTCAAGTAGATACATGAGACTAAATGGGCAGCTCCTGTTCAGGGGCGAGATGAGAAGGCAGAGAGGCTCAGGAGCTGGTTGAATGGACACGGGAAATCCAGGGTAGAAAGGAGGAGTGTGCTGTCACAGAACAGGGAGAGCAACTAGGGTCACATAGCGATGTATGTATAAGTTTTTGTACGAGAAATTGAATTGTAAACTCACTTAAAGCACCAAAAAAAAGATCTCACTTCAGAAGGCAAAAAAAACCCCAATGACCTCATGCTCTAGACATAATTTCTAAGCTGGTATTAAAGCAAAAAGAAAGAAACAGCAAGAGTGAGTTTTTTTCTAAAAATGAAAACAAGTCATAAATTAAAATTCCAGGAATTTTCTGTGGCAGAAATATTAAAATATTCCTATCAAAAATTAGCATAAATTACTAAAATCAATCATTCTGAAGAACAGACTAGGAAGAAAACCAAGCAACAACCAAGATCCAAGAAGGGAATATTAAAATCTCACAACTTTCTTTTACCTGTTTTCATGAAGCCTGGATGTTCAGCAATGTTTGAGCTATTTAGCAGCTTCACAGCTTTTCGATAATTCCCTCTTAAGTACTCGAAATTGCTTTTAAGAAACAGAGAGGGTGCAGACTGTAAAGAAAATATAAGTTACTTATACTTTGTCTTCCTATGCCTAATGAGAGATCACAATTATACTGTTGGAATGACAAGCATTCAATGGCATAAAGGAATCAGTCAAATCACGGTCACAAAAAACTACAATGCCCAACACTCAGCCTTATAGTCTCTATTCTTCAGAAAGCATCTTATAAAAAGAATTCAGAATCTACCTAAAAAAAAAATACACACACCATCTATGTGGCATGAACTGTCCGTCTTCATCTATTACACTACTAACTGGAAATCCATTTAACAGCACAAACTAGGTCCTGCATTTTAAAGGCTCTTAGACTGGTGATCTTCCCTATTTTTAGTATACAAATGCACCTCCATTAGGACCCAAAGAGATACAAGTATTAAATACTTTTCCAAGAAAGAAAAAAAAGTGCCAAGTCTATAAAGATTTTTAACAGAATGCCTTATTTGTGAGAGCTAGTCTTATTACAAAGATCATGCTGGATCACCCTATACTTCTAAGAATTCTCATGGCGGAAGATCCTCTAAATAGTCCCTATTTAGAGTACAAAAACATGCAGAGATCTGGAGACCAAGTATCTACCCAGGACGGTACGTGGGACCCCCGTCTCATTACTTATTCATTCTAGCTTAGTAACCTGCTTTCCTTCTAGATCCTAGTTCATCCCTTCTTATGCCTCCTGCCCACCCGAGTTCTGCTGGTCACTGAGGAAACATCTTTCAGTGTGTAACCTAGGTGGCCATACTCCTTCCTTAAGTGTTCACTGATTCCAGTATAAGGATTACACTGCTTTACAATTATTCTCCTCTTTGTCTCTCCCCTATGACAATGACCTCCTTTAAGGCAGGGATTTTATCCTTCATCTCATAAAAGATCTGATACTGGCCAACTGGTCCTTCCCTCTTAGCCTCCTCAGGTGACCCCCTCAGGTCTAGGCTACAATTGTTCTCCACAAAAAATCACTTGAGAACTGACCCAATGGCTAATCTGGCTTCTGCCTAAGATTTCTAGGGTCAATTTACCTGAATTATTCCTATTAAAAACCACATCTTCTCATGATTTCATACTTGTAATCACAGTTTCCCTAAAAAGCATCAAGACTGTTCATAATTCTTTCTTCCATATATAAACCCAAAAACCCACTGCCATTGAGTTGATTCCAACTCACAGTGACCCTATAGGACAGAGCAGAAAGGCCCTGTAGGGTTTCCAAGGCTGTAAATCTTTACAGAAGCAGACTGCCACATCTTTCTCCTGTGGAGAGGCTGGTGAGTTCCAACTGCCAAGCTTCTGGTTAGAAGCTGAACACTTAACCACTGAGCCACCAGGGCTCTTTTTCTTTCCTATACCATCTTGAAAACTATTTATCGGCAGGGGTTGAGATGGAGGGAGCGAAAGGAAGGGGTAGTTATTTCTCAAATACTCTATTCACTAGTCAAATTGAAGGTAATGTCAAGCCAAAAATCATTTGGAAGGGGCAGGTTTTCGCTACAACCTGGCTGCTAATATTTAATAAATGTTTTGAGTATGATACTAAGAAATCCTAAAATAAATATCTAACAATGGCAAAACGTTTAAGTGAATTGTGACAAACCACTCAGAGAATATTAGGTCGCTATTAAACATGGTGGTTTTAAAGGCTATATAAAATCAAACCAAACCCACTGCTGTTGAGTTGATTTCGAGTCAGTGACCCCACAGGCTTCCAAGGCTGTATATCTCTATGAAAGCGGACTGCCACATCTTTCTCCCACGGAGTGGCTGGTGGTTTTGAACCACTGACCTTTCTAACCACGGTGCCACGACTGCTCCTGTACTAACACTGTTGTTGTTGGGCGCGGTCAAGTCGATCCTGGCTCATAGCGACCGTACAGAACTGAGAACTGCCCCATAGGGTTTCCAAGGAGCAGCTGGTGGATTTGAACTCCTGACCTTTTGGTTGGCAGCTGAGCTCTTAACCACTGTGCCACCAGGGCTCCTGTACTATAATAGACTAATATCAATGATTTAAAACTCGCAAGTACCTACAGTCCAAATAATAAAGTTTCAGGGCATAAAAGCCACAAATTGAAAAACAAGATAAAAGTCCAAAAGAAACTTACATTTCCAGCTGTGTTCATGACTGACTTGATTTCCCTTTTGCACGCTTTCAGGGACTTCATCTGGATATAAGCTCTCACTTTATACTGCCAAAGGAAAATGCTAGTATGTAAGAACTACGGTGAATTTACATATGCTGAAGTAGTTTACTTTCTAGTTACAACATAGTTACACCAATCTGTTCACAATACAGTTACACCAGTTACTTGCAAAAGCAAGTTTAAAATTATCTTAAATATCCTATTTTAAATGTATTCTTTGAATACACCCTAAAAAACGAAAAACATGCTAGAATAAAATGTATACTTATATTCCAAGCAAAAACTCTAGCAACTCTTACCTGTCAGTGGCTAAATAACAGTGAATGTTTAAATTCCACAAACTGATTTTATCACTCAATACATTCTCGGGTCATTCCTTTCAACCTTCTATAGGGTAATTAAAAGACATTACATTACGTTATTACCTTAAGCAAAATATATTTAGGAGGACAGATGTGCTGCTAAAGCACGCTTCAAAGCCACTCTATACGCACGCCTGCATCAGTCACTGCCGTCCACGACCCATGACACTGCTTCCTCAGTCACAACTACAAGACAACACAGGTGACACATCACCTCCTTTGAAATGGACCCACCTGATGTATCTTTGACTTTGCAGCTTCTATCAGAGCTCCACTTTCAGCTTTATGATTAGATCCATCTTTGTTGGTGTTATTACCAGTCTGTAGGGTGGTGAAGCAAAATTGACCACATTAAATATTTTAAATTATAATTTACATCAGTGATTTCCAATGAGCTCATCTCCATCACCCAGTGAGAATGTCTGCAATTCAGAAGCCCCAGTCCCACCTCCAGAGAATCGGGCTCAGTAGTCTGCAGCAGGTGACAGGAAACTCTCCTTATGAGAAGCTCAGGGCTGAGCACTAGGATGGACCAGGCTTTAAAAGTACAGATATCACTCAAGCAAAACGCAGATTATCTTTATAAAACCCAGACTAGATGATGTCATTTCCTTCTTAAAAACTCTGGCTGGTATAAATGCTGCCAACAAGATCCAGTCCTAAATTCCTCGTCAAGTATTCAAAGTCCTTCAGGATATGACCTGTCTCCATTACAGTCCACAGGGACTATCTACTGGAGATTACCAGAAATTCTCCCTGTACACCACTCTCACACCTCTGGGCTCTGCTTGTGCTCTTCTCTCTGGCAGGACAGTTATCCACTCTCCTTTTCTGGCTGGTCAAAATCTTACCATCTTAGGATCCAATTCACACCTCTAAGCTCCTCCAGAGCATTCCCTAGCCTCCTTCCTCCCTCATGGACAGACGCTGCTCAGTCTGTCCTCCCCCACAAACCTGTCAGCTCCTTGAAAAGCTCGTTTTCATTTCTGTCATCTTAACACCTAGCAGAGAAGCTGACACATGAGAGGCAAACAAGAACCTGTCAAAGTGAATTATATTTCATCAAATATAAAAGGTACTGAATGTAAAAATGAAACGCTTTTCTACCTGATGTTTAGGAATAATACTATGATGATTCGATGGAAATCCCCCACGTACACACACCTGTTAAGCTGTAAAAAGTAGTGGTAGATGTTTATTTATTTTTAGGAAACTGAGGCTCAGAAAGGTTGACTTGACCAAGGCCATATTGTTTATTTTATTTTTAAGCCTCAAGAACAAACTTCTGCAGGCAGAAAGGCGTTTCCAATGTACTTCTGCAAATGCTCCTTTTTTAAAAAGGAGGGGCGGGCAGGAACAGTAACCAGGACTGGTGAGAACGGGAAGATGCCAGAGCCTTCACAGGTTGCCGGTGTGAATGCAAACTGGTGGAGCTACTTTGGAAAACAGACTGGCCGTTCCTCTGAAGGAAACAGAATACTCTATGACCCAGAAATTCCACTCCAAGTATAATCCCAAGAGAGATGAAAACACATCCACACAAAAACACATACATGGATGTTCACAACAGTATCGTTCATAATAGCCAAAAAGTGAAAACAACGCCAAAGGTCCATTAACTGATAAATGAATTAAAAAATGTGGCATATTCCTATCATGAAATATTATATGCTGCAACATGGATGAACCTTGAAAACATTATGCTAAATGAAAGAAGCTAGTCACCAAAGGCCAGCTACTGTGTGATTCCATTTACATGAAATGTCTACACCAGGCAAATCTCGAGAAAGTGCACAGACCAGTGGATGTCAGGGCCTAGGGGCAGGGAGGTACGGGGAGCAAACACTCGTGGTACAGGGTTTCTTCCCGCGACAGTTACACAGGTCTGTGACTACCCTAAAAGTCACTGAATTGCACACTCTAAAATGGTAAATTGTACTGAATGTGAATTACATCTCAATAAAGCTATTAAAAATAACATTTCATAAGCACAAATATTAATCACATTTTGAAATTTAGTCTGATCACCTTGGAACACTTACCTCATTCTTCCCATTTTTGTTATTGTTTCCCTGTGAAATCATTTTTTCTAGGACAGCAAGAAGATGCAAAGCTTTCTCAGCCTGATAGGTTAATATATACAGGTCTACAAGCAGGAAACACACGGCTTGGGCAAATTTTTCTTCTGGCAAAAAAAAAAACACACACACGCAAATACAGAGAAGAAAGTCATAATCCAAAGTGAGGCAAACATCTCACATCACCCCACCAAAGGTGAATAAACGTCTTTCCTCAAATGCACATCACCTAGATCTGTGAACAAAAGCCACATGCCAATGGCAGCAATGCTGTTCTATTAGGTGTTTCAAGGCCTCTCATTTCAGGAATTCCAGCATCTGGGCCTCCTTAGGCAAAATACCCACCAGGCACCAGCACAAGTAATGAGGAGTACTACTGTAGTGCAAGGAAGCTTGAATTCCAGCCCTTCTATGCCACTTACCAGATGTGCGGCCCTGCATGTCACTGAACTTTCTAGACCTCAGCTGTCTGACCTGTAAAATGGGAAGGATGCAGGTGTTCTCTTGAGGCCCCTTCTAAGTCTAAGAAGACCTATGTATGACTCTATGAAATAGGTTTCCTGTCTAGGTCACAGGGATGGAAAAAAGAAACCATCTGATTACACAGACGACAGACCTGCAGAAGAGCAGCAAGGTGTGCATTAGAGCACATCAGGCATTGAGACACCAAGGGGGAAAGACACAGAGAGGCCATCAAGGGAAGAAGGACTTAATGAAAACAGGAAAGGTGACCTGGTGCAACATAAAAAGATCTTCCTTTCGAAAGGTCATGGAAGCCCCACAGACACATCCAAACTCCCTGAGGGACTGAACTGCTGGGCAGAGGGCTGTGGGGACCATGGTCTCGGGGAACATCTAGCTCAATTGGCATGACACAGCTTATAAAGACAATACTCTACATTCTACCTT